TCAATAAATTATAGGTTGAGTTTTCTTTGGAACTGATGATAATTGCATAAGTATATTCAATATGTAATTAATTTATTTTATTATATTAAAATATATAAATTTAAATAAAAATGATTATATAAGTTATGAATTGTTCTTAAACTTCATAATTTATATTATCATTTATAAAAATTTATATTTATAAAAATTTTATTAATATATGAATATATTTTTGTGCATTACATAGGTTTAAAACTAGTCTTATATTTAAGTTAAGTTCTTTTACTTATTAACAATTAGTTTGGATATTTAGTAGAAATGATTGAAAATATTAAGAATGAAATTTTTATTATTCAAATGGTTAAAATTTATAATTATATATTTTTTACTTTATAACTTAACTATTAAATTAAAAAAAAATTTCTTTCTTAATCCCTTATCATCCTTCCTATCAAATAAAACTTAAATGACCAATAAATCAATTTAGGAAGATTTTTAAGTTATGCTTTTATTAAACCCAATCCCATCACATCCTAGATTGGATTGAATCTATGAAAGGATAACAATTGTAACCTTATGTTAGATTAATGGATTTTATGTTATTAAGTCTAAAACAATTAATTTCGATTCGAGTAATTTTATCTTGGAAACATGAAAATTTTCATCACTTTGACGTGTCTAAACAAATATTTGAGTATGTAACTTGGGCATGGTTTCCTTTCCCACTTGCCAATGGCCATAATAATTAATGGCAAGAGACTCGCCCCAATTAGACCACATGCACTGAAAAATGGCATGGTTTTGGTTTTGGGTTCATGGACTTGTTCTAACTTTGTTGTTGTCTCATTGAAAGATTGAAAGCTCAACCATGTGGCCTGTCTGTTTGGGCTTAGCCACAAAGGCCTCGTAAAGAGGCTCATTGTCCCTTTCACTTTGTCTGCTGCATGTGTTGCCACTGCCAACCTTTTTATTTTCTTTTCTCCCACACTTGATATTCGCAGCTATTCCTATTTTGAAGCAAATTCCGACAAGAAGTTTCCTTCGCGGCTATAGAGTTGGTACTCCTCTATTTTATGTTGATCATTGACTTGGTTCCTTCATTTGTTTCCTTCCTTTGATTAGAAATTGAGAATCCCAATTCAAATATATAATTATAAACATAAAACCAAACAAAACAATAGAATAGGTAACACACAGAATCAAGCTTGCCCCTTGTATATTCATCATTCATATATATATATATATATATATATATATGTTTCATTCAACTTATCTTGATAGCTGATGCCATGTGTTTTAGCACACAATATGTTTTAAACATTTAATTATTAATAAACAGTTTGCCAAAAAATCCATCACCATAAAATGAGAGACCACTCTAATTTTAAACCAGTTTTTATCTTAATCTGAGTTGGATCCACGCTTCTGTGTCTGTTGAAGATTGAAGCAAAATAAATAAATAAATAAAACTTTTTGTTCTTTTTTTTTTTTTTTCTAAGTATTGATTCAGAGTCAAGTATAAGGTGGCATCAGAATTTTGGGCTTATTTTAGAAGTTCTTGTGCTTTGGTAAGGTGGGGAAAAATGAGTATTATAATTAAAATTTCATTTCTTATATCCTAAGATAAAAAAAAAATGTGAGCATAAAAAATTACATGTCAACTGCTTCTGAGATCTTTTCAAGTATTATTTTTAAATGGTATATAATTGGCCTTTCAATGAGAATAAATTGCTTTTGGTTTTTGGCATGAGCAGTGACGTTCTCACGTGTCAACTTGCACACTAGTCATTACTCATTCGGGATTTTTTATTATTTACAAAAATAAAATCTAACTTTTTGAGTGAAAAGATAAATACCTTTATGATTGAATTATATTTTTTAATAAATAAAATAATTTGTTGCAAATTATTAATGTTCGTTGATTCAAATAGTAAACAGTTCAATTTTTTAAAATAAAAATTTGATTTTAAATTTTATTTATAAAAAAATAAAATTTTAAAATTTATTTTTTTTATAAAATTTAATTCAATTTAATTTTAAATTAATTAAAATTAAAAATGATTATTAAATAACAAGAATCTCGTACCAAAAAAAAAAAAATTTGTTGTAAATTTAAGTAGAGGATCGTTTTGATGATTTAAAAGTAATGAGAAAGGGAATTGGTACTTGTTTGGTGAGGAGCAGCATTAGGCATTTGACTAAAAAAGCATGTAGGCCTACTTCAGCCACAATTATTTAATTTATGTTATATATCAAAGTTTTTTTTTTATACATTATTTTATCGTTTTATCAAACATATATAATTAAAAACTAAATGTAATTTTTAAATTTAAAGAATAAATATACATCGAATAATTAAGAGACAGTCAGCCAGGGGCGCACCTAGATCTGGCGAGAAAGGTTTTGACTTTTGATTTTTGTTTTTTAATAAATGGTTATAATTTGAGAACAGATAAAGAAGTTGTAGACATAGTAATTCAAATTTTAGATTTGTTAAATATTATTGTTAAAAATAATTATATAAATTAATTAAGTTAAATTATAAATTTATTTTTGAATTCTTTGATGATATGGTAAAGCTTATCCTTAAAAAGGAAAATTTTGAATTTAATTATTATAATATCTATTTTTTTAATTAAAAATATCAATAGTTAAGATATGAATAGGATAAAATATTTCTTATCTCCATCTTTAGATTTTGATATTATACTTATCATCATATTTTTATCGAATGAATATTTTAAATTTATTTATATTTTCATATTTACGGGTATTTAATAAATATAAAAAGACTAAAAACTAAAATTTTTATTTTTATTTTGTATATTTATATATTTTTTTATAAATATATATTAATATATATTTTTTAACCAAAATATATTAATTTTAATTAATTTAAAATAAAAATTTATATACTAAATATATAAATATATATAAGGTATGAGACATATGTTATATTATCTAACCTCATATTCGTACTAAATAAAAATTTAAAATTAGATATATTTTAATCACCATACTTATAATATAATATATATTTTTGTTCAATAAAAATTAAATTTTTTATTTAATATGGGTAAGATTAATATTTTTATTTTTATTATCGAATTTTATTACTAATTAAATTTTCTTTCATTATTGTTTATTTAAACTTATTATTTAAAAACTTAAATTATCATCTTACATTCAAGATAAATCAAATATAAATATGTTGCTACTTTTTTTAATAGATAAATATGTTACTACTAATTATTACATCAAGGCTTACAAAAGAAACTACATTAATTAAAAAATTTTAGTTGATATACTTTGCATACGAAATTAATCCTACATGTAACTTTTTTTTTTCTATTTCATAGCTCCTATCAAGCTTTTAATTATTTAAAAGTTCTTCGGTGCTATCGTTGAAGAATAAATTATTAGCTTGACATTATTTTCTAATCAACCTTTATATGGATGATATGAATTGCAATATATAAAATTTTTATATTTTTTACTTGTCAAAAGAAATATATATACATTTTATTCTATTATATTACTAATTTATTTGAGCTTATCGTACTTTTTACCGTACTATTTTTTGTTAAAAATATATTATACTTTTGTATACTATTTTTATTATACTTTTTATAGCACTTTTTTTTTTAACTTACCAAAAGATAGTTACCTCGTTTGACATAGAAAAAAATAAAATAAAATAAAAAGAAATGATAAAATAAGATATGGGCTGCTGCCTGCTAAACCCATCAATGTAGATTTTATTTTTCAATTCTTGACTATTTATTTTGTCAAGCTCAAAAATTCAAAGACAAGTTAAAAAAAGAAAATGCTAATTTTGTTTAGCATAAAAAATGCTAATTGTTTAATTCTCAACTTTTTTTTTCATTTTATAAATTTGGTGTGCTTTATTTTTTATTATGTTGCTAATTAATTATTTTGGTCAAGAACACTGTCAATTAAAATTAGTAAATTTATTTAATTGTTAAGTGAATATATGATAGAAAAGAAAAAATAAAAAAATATGATTATTTGAAAATTCATCAATGAATAATTTCAAAAATTTTTAAAATTTGTTAGTGATAATTTTCTAATATCTTGCGTGATGAATAAATTTGAAAACTCCACTAAAAATATTGAAAATTTCTCAAATTAAAACTTTTAGCAAAACGCAGGGATATGCGCTAGTTTGCATTAACGACTGCTGGTACTCCAAAAGTTAAACCGTTATAGTCAAATTGAACGATCAAATTCAAAAATTCAAAAAAAAAAAAAATCAACCAGGAAGAAAATTATTTCTAATTTGAAAATTGATAATTTGATCAAAAGAAAATTTGAAAGCAGTCTGCCAATTCAACCAGAAAGTTCTAGAATTTACTTTCTCTCAAAGCAGAAAGTTCAAGATTGAAAGATCAAATTAAGAATCGTTTGGGAGTAATGCATAAAAGAAAGATAGACATGATTTTTGCTGCTTTAACAATTAACAGTTACTTCAAGGCAAATCTTTCCTCGTGAATCTATATTTTTTAAAAACAATATTTAAACCTAAATATATATTTTTATTTATTTTAAGTTTATTTTTATTAAATAATAATAAGTAAAAAAAATTATTAAAACGAAACTTAAATATTTATATTATCTATTTGATTCGAAATTGTTTGGCAAAATAAAATTCATATTTTAAGAGAATCAAATTGTGTTTTGACACGAGTATGTCATGACAAAGGGCTACTATTAAGGCAGTAAAAGATAGGCAGGTGGCACAAAATCACACCACATAAAAGAGAAAAAACAAAGCCAAAGAGTCCTGAACTGAATGTCCCGGTATTGGTATGTTGTATCAGCCTCTGGTTTTTTGGTTGGTTTTGCTACAATCAATGTTAGGTGGACCAGTATAGATGCCAATACGAGAGTAGTTGGGGGGTAAAAGAGTAAAAGAAAGGTAAACAAGAAAAACCTCCAACGAATGAGATGAGAAAGAGATCCAACGGTAGTACACGTTGCTTGGGAAAGGGGAGAAAAGAAAAAGCGACGCCCCCACTATCTTACTTTCCATTTTAGTCTCTCTTCTCTTTTAAAAGCCCCCCCTTCTCCTCTCTTTTCTGTACCGTCTCTCTATTTTCTCTCTCTCCAAACAAAAACTCTTTCTTACCTTTCCCTCCTAGCTTTCCTTTCAATCATGTCTTGCTTCATTAGCAAATATGCCGGTAATTCACCTTCCCTTTCTCCTTCTAGTATTTATAATTTTATGTTTATAATCTTTGATCTCTTCACTCGATCTTCTGCTCTCTTTATTTTTTCCGATCTGTTAGATGCTTGATAATTTGACGAGAAAGCTTCGTTAGTTACTGTTTAATTAGTTCAATTGATTAATAGATTTGGTCAGGTTGGTGGGTTTTGCATTTCGATGTTTAGATTTTATCGGATCTTAAAGATCCGATCCATTTTTCTTGCGATCAGATCTTCAGTGGGTATTTGCTAAATTTATTGTTAGGTTCTCTTTAATCGAAAGAAACGTAATAGAATTTTCCCAATTATTGATTCATACTGTTAACTAAAACCCAATCAACTTGTTTTTTTGGCTTAATTCTTATGATATCTGGAAATCTAAATCTTTATGCATACACTAATTATTATTTCCCCAATCCTTTTTACTGTTCAATATTTTGGATATTTATTTTTAAGTTGTCATTTTGATTATCAGTCCTTGATGTGCTTTACAAAATCATGATATCATCCAATTCAAGATAAAAAATAGATTGATGAAGTTGATAAAAGTTAATTATCTGCTTGGTTGCATTTATTCTTGGATCTGAGATTACTGAACCTGATCAATTCACCCTTTGGTTACTTTAGTCTTTCCATAGTTGGATCACTGTTTCTTAACCCTTTAATGGTGCATTGATGGCTTAATTTTTTTTATTGTAAAAAATATTGCAGATGAGCTAGCTAAAAACGCTGCCTACATTGGCACCCCTGGAAAGGGTATCCTTGCTGCTGATGAATCCACTGGCACAATTGGCAAGCGTCTTTCAAGCATTAATGTAGAGAATGTTGAAGAAAACAGGCGTGCTCTCCGTGAGCTTCTCTTCACTACTCCTGGAGCTCTCCAGTACCTTAGTGGTGTCATTCTCTTTGAGGAAACCCTCTACCAAAAAACCGCTTCTGGTATTATTACAAAACACCTGCTCCTTATGTATCTTTTAAGAATATATGGATTGTTAATTTCTGGTACTGATTTTTGATGTGCAGGTAAGCCCTTCGTTGAAGTCTTGAATGAAGGTGGTGTCCTCCCTGGCATCAAGGTCGACAAGGGTACCGTTGAGCTTAATGGAACGAATGGTGAGACTTTCACCCAGGGTCTTGATGGACTTGCCCAGCGTTGCCAGAAGTACTATGAAGCTGGTGCTCGCTTTGCTAAATGGCGTGCTGTGCTCAAGATTGGCCCTAATGAGCCAACTGAACTTGCAATCCAAGAAAATGCCACTGGCCTGGCCATGTATGCTGCCATCTGCCAGCAGTGTGGCCTTGTCCCCATTGTCGAACCTGAAATCCTTGTTGATGGACCACATGACATTAAAAAGTGTGCTGAGGTGACAGAGCGCGTCCTTGCTGCTTGCTACAAGGCTTTAAATGACCACCATGTAATGCTTGAGGGTACTCTGTTGAAGCCTAACATGGTGACCCCAGGTTCTGATTCCCCAAAGGTTGCCCCAGAGGTTATTGCCGAGTACACTCTCCGTGCCTTGCAGCGAACTGTCCCTCCTGCCGTCCCTGCTATTGTATTCTTGTCTGGTGGACAAAGTGAGGAGGAGGCCACCCTTAACCTGAATGCCATGAACAAGCTCCAGACGAAGAAGCCATGGTCACTCTCATTCTCATTTGGACGTGCCCTTCAACAGAGCACTCTTAAGGCCTGGGCTGGAAAGGAGGAGAATCTGAAGAAGGCCCAAGAAGCTTTTCTTGTAAGGTGCAAGGCTAACTCCCAGGCCACTCTCGGTACCTATAAAGGTGATGCAAAGCTTGGTGAGGGTGCCGCAGAGAGCCTCCATGTCAAGGACTACAAATACTAAGAATTTAAGCTTGTGGTCTAATGTGTCATGTTTTGCAGAGTTAATTGCGGTATGGAAATTTTATGCTTTTAGGGCTTTATTTTTTGGGTTTTTGTCGTTTTTATGAAATTTAGGGTTGAAATCAGACAAATAAGCTTGGGAGCCTTTGTGCCCAACGATGCTTTTCTTTTCTTGTTAAAAAGGATAAAAAGAATTCAGGATGAAAGCTTATTAATTTAGTGATTAATGGTTAATTTAATCATTTGATTAACAAGTTTTTTCATCCTTAACCCATTCCCATTTAATCCTTCCAACCAAGCAAATCTATGTCATGAGTTTATTTCAGTGAAACAATATTCTCTGCTTATATCATGAGTTGAAGACTACATTTTTCGCTTCTTTTCTTTTTTTATTTGGTATTTTGAGTTGAAATGCGTTTCTTGATTCATTAAGCCTACTACAAACTTATATTTGAAATCTCTTGATTCATTAAGCCTACTACAAACTTATATTTGAAGACCCCTCGATGGCAGCCTTGAAATGGCCGTTGGGGGGTCTTAGATCGTGAATGAGTAACTGGATTTTTCTGCCATGGTAAGTGAGTGGAGGAAATGCTTCTCTTTCTGATTATTTCTTGGGAAAATATGAGATTGTTGCGGTTTGATCAGAGATCGATGTCGCAATGACCCTTGGCCTGCTATAAGCCAATTTTTTTTCCCCTCTGTATGAACCACGAAGAATGGCTTTGGTTGCCACACTGGATCATGCAGTCCGGGGCTTTGATATCAGTGTCTTAAAGGAACCTAGAAAAAGAAAGGCAGTAAGTGCAGACAGTGTTGCGTTATGGGCCTGGTTCAATATTATAATATGCCACAACCTTTAAACAAAGATAGAATGCTACACAGAATTTTGCGGAACAAGGCCTAATACTAGATTGGACGAGAACCCAGCTAGGACATCACTTGAAGCGCCCATTAGATTGAATTGGTTACCTGGCTGGCCTGATCATCAATCGCAAATTTGGAAACAAAACTTTTCTACGTCATAAGATCCAGAGGCGACGTTTACTTTAATCGTTTCATTCCTCTTAAGGCGTCGATCAAACCATTCTCATTAGGATGCCAGTTTCCCCGGCACTTTTTCTTTTTCTCTTTTTAAGTGAATCGATTGTCCATGAATACAGAAGTTGGAGTCCGTTGGAAAAATTAAATTTGGTCTCATGTTTATTTCTTTAATTCATGGTGCGGCTACATTCACTCTTCACTCTCACTGATTTTTTTTTATCTCTCAAAACTCTAGCAGGCCATTACCAATGGATACGTTCTGCTCTTGGATTACCGATATTTTACTTCATTTCACATTGGCATACTCACTTCTTCATTTCAGTAACAAGTTATTGTTCTTATGTTCCATATGACAAGTTCATCAACAATTAGTGTGTGTTTTGTTTACAATATTTTCATGAGAATGTCTATGATATGACCCTTTTCCAACTTCCCCTGGAACCACAACCAAGAGTAAAATGCAGTTTTTATCCTTCCATGGCTAAGGAGTACTGTGAGAACTCACTGGGAAGCCATTGGAGTGTCGACCTCTTTATCATCCAGTTGTAATATGAAGGTTCTTATCAGGGTTTACTCACATCAATGATAATCTATACATTCTTCTTTCAATTTTTATGCACTAAAGAGTAAAATCGACTCCTCAGTCTGTACATTTACAAATATGTAAGTTTAACTAGCTAGATGAATTTGCTAAAAGAAAGAAATTAAGAGAGAGGTCAAGAATCAGTCACACGTGAAACTGCTATGCCCTAAAAGGGGCTTTTAGAAGGGAGCTGCTTTTATATGGAAGATAACACTATCTTTTAGATGAACTCAAATAAATTCGATCACGCAAATTATTGGTAGTGTTAGTGTTTCAGATTTCTAGGAGTGTTGGGTTTGCTATTTCTGGCCAGGTGTACAAAACAGGATGAAAAGGTAGAGTTCCCAATTTGGAGTAAAGTTTTTGAGATGGCAGATTTTTCAGTTAAATTCCAGTAACCAGTCACATCAAATGCCATCAACAAAAAGGCTGATTTTGCTTAAATTTCATTTTTTTCACATAATTGTAACGTATAATATCGTTTCCTTTGACTGCTAATGCACTGGAACTGTCTCCATGCCTTGGGACCAGCAAGTTCAGGATTCAGGAACGAGGCAAAAAAAAAAACAAAAAAGGAAAATGAAAAAGCTGATAAAAGAAGGCCACTGGTACTTTTCTTGCTGTGATAATGACTGCAATGTCTCTACTTTCTTTGGTCCCTGCTGGGTGGGAAGCTTCTTCACTCTTTCCCATACGGCCAGTCCCTGTCTGGAAGAAAAAGAAAGACTAGTTGACGCAAGTGTGGGAGATCGTAATGGAGTATGTACATGAAGATTTATTTCCTACAAAAGTGAGAGCTTCCATGGAAGGCTGCAACAAATCCATCTCTTTCTATTTCATATCCATCCAATTTGTACATCCAAAGTATTGTTTCCAACACTAAAAAGATCATCATGGTCAGTTCTTTTTTCACCTATCTTATCTTTTGCATTTCAAATAAAGCTTCAATATATATATATATATATATATATATTCAATGCAAGCTATTGACCTGTGCTCATATTGTGGTTTCCCTTTTATGCATTCATGGAGTTGATAGAGAAATATCATTGTAAGGAAACTTAATGGTCACGTGTGAGAGAAGACCAGCAAATATTTCAAATGTCCCTTTTGTACTTCAAATTTCAGGATTCAATTTGGTGGTTCATATAGGCAAAGTGCACAATCTGAATTTGAGTAATAGAGGTTAATATTAATTTTATATATATATATATATAGTTAACAAAAATAACTTCAATGGTGGTCCAAAATTTTACTAGTAACTTTTTTCACACTCTTCTAAAATGTCTTTCTTTTCAAATGAAAAAGTGAAGCTTTTACGAGAAATGATAAGAGGATCCTGATTAGTAGCTATAAACACTTACAGGGCAGGCCAGATATATCCACATATGCCCATTGCTTATGACGTTTTTAATTTAATCTCCAGAAACAAACAATCTGATTCCAACATTTAATTATTAATTATAACATCCTTTTCGTTCACCATGCATCAACATTTTCTTTTCCACCATTTTGTAGCATTGTCAATCTCACGTAAGCTCCAAGAATACAATAATTCATTGGAATTTGATGCCTTTGAAAAAGCCAGCGTTTGTCTAACAAAGAATCTTTTGTGATCACCAAAAGAAAAGAAATATCTTTAATCTAACGATTATGCTGTTAAGTAGAAATGGTGGTTATGAAAAATTTTCATCCCTCTTACTTCCCATTCTTTCTATAAATTATTTGCCTCTTTTAAAACTAGGATTCTTTTAATTCTACTATATTGTTGTTTTCAGTTAAATTTGATTATTTCTCTCTTATTCCTTTGCTGTTAATATAGCCAAAAAGTTTCAAACAGACAAAAAAGGAGGCTGCACACTGACTATAATTTTCAATCAAGGTACTTTGCAAGATGAAAATTTCTTGTTGCATTGAATGTTAAAAACTATTTTTTTTTTGTTGAAAAGAATTAACTTTGCTCGATCTCTAGCTATCATTAATAAGTAATCAGCCGACATTGTTGTGAAGGGCAACAGGCCGTGTATCAAGGGAGCTCAATTTTATCTGCAATTCCCTACCTGAATTTCCAAGTTCACTACACAAACTTACCTCTGACATTTACTCACAATACCAAAATCTTTGACTGTGAAGAAATATCGATCTTGGTGTAAAGAATGACAGATTATTTCATTCAATACCATTGGTTAATTACTGTAGTTAAAATGTTTTTGTCATGATCTAATGACAAAAACTTGAAATAGAACGTCCTTCAATGGACAACCCTTCAGAGATTTACTACTAAAAAGCTTATCACGTGAGATATATATATATATATATATATATATATCCTTGGAGCATCCCACTTAAAAGCCACTAGCAGTCATTAACCTACTTCTTTGGTACAAATTTGATACAAGACACTGCAAACACATTCTGAAAGATTTGTTTCTGGTTTATAATCTGATCTAAGTCACTGTTTCCTTAACCTATGCACAGTACTGCAGAGAAATTGTACATGCACACGTGGGGGCAAATGCTTTCAGTCATGCACATATTGCATACAAAGACAAAATATTTTCACCAGATATTAATACTAAACAACAAATGATCAGTAGATAAGAAAAGAAAGTACGTAACTGATGAACTAACATAATCAAATTTCCATGAATAGTAGGAAAGATTTTCAGAAATGTTAAGATGAAGAATTCTGTGTTAGAGCAACATTTGAACCTTTTTTTTTTCTCTCCCTAGAAAGATATTAACCCATTAATCCATTTTTATTGTTATTAATCTTAAATGTGTACTTGCTAAGAACCACATAAACCACAATTTGCTATACATAAATTCTCATGATCAGTCAGCTCCTTGCTTATACACTGTAAATCCCCTCTCAAGAGGGAGTGTACATTTGTTAAATATTCTCTTACCGATCAGCAACTCCCTCATCCCAGTACCCATTGCATATATCTCATGCGGGATTAGAATAATTGTGAAATTTGGCAGTGTTTTTTTTTTTTTTTCGAACTTACTGGTTTTCTCCTTTGCTGAGCTTCAGACCATAGTTCTCCCACAGGTTGTCTCCATCAGCCATTAAGAATCGAAAGCAACTATCATTTACAGCATTGCCAGCGTTAGAGTTAGAAGGGGAAGAGCCGTCATTTGCTTGGAGTCTGATCAGTGTATCAGGTCCTTGCTCATTAATTTCACTATATGCTCTTCCTTGATTGTAGAGCGACTCATTGTTATGATAATAACCATAGCCTATTGAGTTCTCCTTGCGTTTTTTGTTACTCTCCTTGGTTTTCATTAGATAAGCTGCAATGCTATCCCATTTGTCTTTGCACATTAAAGCACTCCTGTCAAAGCCTAAACAAGCCATCTTAGCAGCTATTTCCTCCCACAGAATCTCTTCTGAAAACCCTCCTTGTTCGAACCTCGATTCCATGCTGGTTCTCAGCTGTATTAGCCTAGAAACCTCAGATTCTTGCCAGCCATCTGCCTTAACAGTGTTGTTTATTATTTCACTTCCATTCTCATTCTGGTTTTCACTGTGGTTTTGCATTTCAGATGCCATTAGTTCCTCAGGTGATGTAGCCTTCAATTGTTTTCCTGTCAGGTTCTGCAAGGCCTCCATTAAAGCAGCATCACGAGCTTCAATCCATGCTCTCTCTTTAGCCCAAAACTTGTGCTCTCTATCTATCCTGGCTGCTTCTTCTTTCCTCCATTCTTCCTCCCTTAAAAGCCTCTGTTGTTCCTTTTGCTCAAGAGTCTTGGTCAATTTCTCTAGCCATGCCTCTTGCCTCTCCATTAGCTTCCTCATTTGTGAGTCAATAAACTCTTTTATCTTTGCCTTCCAGCTTCTACTACCCCTTTTCTTTTTCCGCTTCTCTGATGAATCATTCTCCATTGCTGCTGCAGTGCTTATATCATTGTCATCTGAGGAAGAAGTGTCGAATTCGGAGGAATTGGAGAGGCTAAGACTATCACAGGGCTTTTGAGAGTGATAGACCTCTTGATTTGCTTGAGTATTGCTGTTGGGAGTACCATGAAACCGAAAATTGGTCCCAACTAGGTGAGTTTCTTGGCCTGAAATTGAATTGCTGGTCTCTCCATATAGAGCTTCAAGTTGACGAAAGAATCTATAGTGCTTACCATCTTGTCTTCCAGCCTTCCCTTCCTTAGTCTTTTTGTAATACTTGTACAAGTTTTCAAATTTCTCCCTGCATTTTTTCCCACTCCTTTGGTACCCATGTTCCTCAGACATGATCCTACGGCAAGAAGGAAAAAGAAGGGAAATGGCAAGTAATTAAAATTTAAATCTAAAAGAAAATTATAAATTGACAGGAACCTAATTCAAATTTGTTAAATAATAAAAAAAAAAAGAAAAAAAGATGACGATGAAAAGATCATGTGATGAATTTTGCCAATGCTATGACAAAACTATTGTGATTTCCCTTGATGCGCATTTTGCAGTAAACCCAACTAAGCATATTATTGACCATTCAAAATTGCAAACAAAGATGGGTCTTTGCAAGGGACTGATAAAATGTCTTTTCAAGGACAAAACTTGTAGATGTGTACTTAAACATCCAAAGGCTGGTCATTTTTATAGCAAAAAACCAGTAAAAACTTGCACAATAATGAAGGCAACACATTTTCAAAGCAAAAAACAAGTCAGTTGAAGACCATTGAAATGATCAGCCATCCTTTCTTTCTAATTTTTTCTTAAAACAAAAAAAAAAAGGAAGGTGAATTCCCGGAAAAACGCTGGAAAGAAGAGGCAAAACTATACCTGGTTCTGAACTGAACTTGTTCACAGTGTAATCTTTTTCTTAAAGCCAAAAATTTATTTCAAAAGTTTTCTCCAATAATAACAGCAAGAAACATAATGAGAAATCATGCTTTTTCAACATAAACTAAGCCATATGTTTTTCTGTTGTAAGTCATGTAACAAGGAAAGCGAAGCCTACTCGATCCTACCATGTAGAATACAAATTTAAAGAAAGAAAAAAAGCAAGGAGTGCAATCATGATAAAATAAAGACAATGCAATTTTGTTTTTCTTTTTTCGAGTGTAATAGTAACAAGAAAGAAAATGTGCAAACTAAAGCCTTGTTCGTTTTGTTTAAACCTTGTAAGAACAAATGAACAAAAAACCCCATTTCATATCACTAAAAGCAAGTCACAATGACAGGAGAAAAAAAAACCCATTCTAATTTACTTTAATTAATAAAAGAAAAGGAGAAAAAAAGAATCAGTGAAGTGAATTTGCTAACTTAAATACATAGAAACCCTTTGCGAATGAAAGAGGGGACGAAGAGAGAAGTAGGGTATGGTACTGTATTAGGATACCTGGAAACTTCATCCCACAAAGGACCCTTTTGATTTGCTTCTTTGAACTTGGGATCAAGACGAGATCTGATCTCAAGAAGTGTTAAAGTCTCTTGTCTAGGCCATCTTCCAGTTCCTCCATCACCTCCAAAAGCAGTAGCTTCACCATCAAACCTACAACTGGCACTAGGAGTAGAAGCACCAGTGACAGTAGCAACAGCAGCCGTTGGAGTAGCATTATTAGCAGTAGAATCAGAAGGGAACTCTTGATGAAGCCGACGAGGCATAAACTCATGACCAACTTGTCTACCCACCATTTGCATCATATCAAAGGGGTGGTGGGGTTGCTGAGGTGGAGGCAGATTCCGGTGGCCGGAGGAGAATAACTCTTCGGCCTGTGGAATTGCTTGGAAATGGGTTGGCCTTCCGTTCAGTAGTTGCCTAAGATCAGGCAAGCCATATTGATGGCGATGATGATCCTCCATTTCCATGTCGATTTTATGAAAAAAAATAGAAAAAAAAGGCAGAAAGAGTAGAGAAGAGTAGCTACAAAAAGACGGTAAGATAAAAGGTTTCCAGAGAGAGAGAGAAAGAGTGAGAGAGCGGCAGACTCGGATCGTGTCGTCCAAGAAAAAGCTCGAATTTAAGCACAGGACAATGGTCCCATCTCTGTTCAAGTGGTGTACAAATGTACGTATTCTGCTACAAATTTTCTTTTCTTTTCTTTTTTCTCTTTAATTTCTCTCAAGTGTTAATGTAAGCCTACGCTAAGCTAAAGATATATTGTTTGCTTTGTTTGTTTCGTTTATTTTAAGTTTTGTAGAGTGACACTGTGGAGCGTGCGTGAGAGAAAGAAAAGGTAAGTCGTTTCACTGGGTTTGGCGCAAAGTAGAGGAAAGCCACACGTTGAATAGAGCAGCAGAAGAAAGTGAAATAAGAGAAAGGCCAGAGAGAGAGAGAGAGAGAGAGAGAGAAGGGTAGTGAATGAGGGACACGTGGTTAAAGGCAAGACGACGAAAAATGCAGGAAAGAGGGAGAGGTGAGTTGCTGACGAGCGTACAGTGCCTAGGATATTGCCTTTTTGACCGCCTCTCTCTCTTTCTCGCTGCGTACTGTCCCCCTCTGCGCAGCTGAGCTGCTTGCTGACACTGACTTCGGCTCTTCAGATGGTTACATGGATCCGAATTCCGACCCCATGAATCCTCTACTACTGCGAAGCCCTTTTGGCCCTTTGGGTGTTGGGGCGTTGACCTAAACGGTTTGTCGTTTGAGTCGTCAATCATTGACGCACCCTAATCAATTAATCCTGATTAGAAACAAATAATTCAGATTTTTAGCTATTTGAGTCATAATTAATATCTTCAATTCTTCACTTGCAAACGTTGATCATGACAATTTGTGACGGTTGATCAATATATCTATCTTGAAATAGAGAGATGACTTTATATAGAGATAGAAGAAATAGAACAAACTCAACATAAACATCAATGACTAATAATTTGGGAAACATGTTCCAAATCCTAACCGACTTGAAAAAGCAATGACTAAATTAATTAATGGTGATCAGTTTCAAAAAAATTGAATTAATCCAACCCCAAATCTCTTTCAGTGGTTGTTATCCTCGTATCTTCATGTTGAGGACTCGATGACAAAGAGTTTAATTTACAAGACAGAAACAAAAAGACTGGACATGTATGTGTGAGTGCCGGTTCCAATGGTCAAGTAATTAGCAAGAACAGCAAAGTATAGTAATAATGAATCTAAAAGAGGAGCTAGAGAAGTCCTTTACCTAAGAGTTTGGAAGTCTTGTTGCTTTTTGTAGTGACGAAGATTGACTTCGCTATAGTGTATGGTCATAAGTGTGTTTCTAATTGCTCATCTACTCTTGCAAAATAAATTGAGGTAATAAGGGTGAAAAAGAACTTGTTTTGATAATATAAAGACAAAATGTCAGTCTTCTGGTATTTGGAGATGAGTTGTCTAGAATAGAAATGCATATAATTTTAGTTTCAAAATGTTCATAGTGAAGATTAAAGTAGTGGTGATTGTAGGTAGCTGAGGGTGACTGAAATACCATATATATGGAAATTAACTGTTTTTAGGGAAGAAAAAAAGAAACATGTAATTGTTGGCTACAAGTCTGGGAAAGAGGCCAGGATGTGTGGGGATAATTTGACTGCCACAGTATCAAGGTCCCTGGAGAGGATTCAGCTTTGGATGTAGACAATGCCCTACATGTTCATCAACAGGGCTGATCAGTTATAGCAAAATGTTGAAAATTTAATATTCGTATATTTGTCCGCTTTATAAACAATTTGCATGCCCCGCTTACAGTTTCAGAAGTCCTATCAAGTACTTGCGACTGTTAGTTCCACATGAAACTTCCTACATACAATCTTTCAGATTTTTATTTGCAATGTAAACTCAAGTTCTATAATAATGAAAACCTTAAATTTTGCTACAAGCCTTGCTAGTCCAAGGCTTGCTTGGCTATATACTAATTGATTCAGACTGCCCTTAGGCCTTAACTATGCCCATTAATTTTAAAATATATATTTGCTACATTATATAAATTATATATATTATTAGTGAATTACATAATATTATATTATTAATGTAAATTTTTTAAAAATCAAATTTTTATATATTTATTTTTAAAAATTGTAAAAATTTATGTTCACTCATTAATAAATATATAATTCACAAAAAATATATAAATTTTATATATTAAATGTGCATCAAATATAATTTCTTAATTTTATTTATAGTTGTCAATAGTATTTCACATGATCGAAGTATATATATATATACATATATATACTTATATTACTTATATTAATTAAACTAAGAAAACAATTTTAAATAAAAAACTAAGAACAGAATTAATTGTATAGTGTTTAAAATCAATAATTGAAGAATTATGTAGATAGGCAATTCTAAAGTACTATAACAGCATCTGACAGGTGGAGCCCTATTGATCCACGTCGATTAGTTAGGACTTGAACGTAAAAACGAAGGCAGCCCATGTGATTACAAGGTGATGTATGTAGAGTCGTACCACAAAGGGCGTTGGGTGTATTGTACACTATCCCTCCCTTTCCACTCAATCTGCTGTACAGTGCCCTTCGAGTCATAGGCTCTGAGCTACTTACTGCGCTAAAATCTGCAGTATGACTATCTCAACTTTAACCATTTTTTAAAATTATAAACAGCGTATATATTTGTTACTGCATCATATGAATAAGGATCTAATTAATAATTATGAAAATTTAATAACAATGCCAAGAAAAAAAAAGAATAATTCCCATGTCCCATAAATAATGATGTATATTTGGAAAAGTGAAAAAAAGGGTACTCAATTTTATGGAAATTTGCTCTTATTGGATGTATATATTTGTGTTATTTTACTTTCACTTGCAAAAACCTCCATGAGTATACATGTTAACGATTTTTCTTTAAACTTGTAAGCATCAATCCCTAGCTAGCTTAAGCTTGATCAAACAGTAACAATATCTAAAAATAAAAATCCAAGATTTAGAATTTAAATGTTCCTTTCTCTAACTTCACTGGTTTTCTAATGTACGAAGAAAATGCGTATCTCTTGTCATAAAGTCAATGTCATTTGGGTCTCTATGTTAATTAGTGGTTTCTTTAGTTAACTTTAACATTAACTTTTTTTTTCTATAATTTATTAGATACGTCAAATTTGTTGCCACAGCCGACAGCTAAGTTGCTAAATCAATTTACTCTTTTTATCTTGTTTAAGAACAAAACAAAACCTTCATTCAATGCAACGATTCAGCAGGGTATTCTTAAAAGCAGCTACAAACTCCTATATATATTGGCCCCTCTATACTATAAACATTGTAGTAATTCGTGGTAACTGATTTCAAGTTCAAGTTATTGCGGGAATTATAGCATGCATCATTTAAGGCTTTTTTTTTTGGTACCATTTAATTTTATGTCTATTCATGTTAAAAAGTACATATGCATGGATTGTGTTAACGAGTGTTTTAGAACACTTCTAAAGCATTTTTAAGATTCATTAATATATTGTTTATAATAATAATTTTATATTAAATATAATAATTATCATGATTTTGCCAATAAAGTCTTGGCTTAATGGTAAAGAGGAGATCTTAGAATCATGAGGTCCTAGATTTAAATCTCACCAAGTATGAGTTTGTTTTAATTTTATGTTAATTTGTCTAATTATATTTTAGTTTATTGATTGATTCATTTGATTAAGACTAAAATACTAAAAAAATTATTGAACTATTTCACTTTTTTCAAATAAGTCCTATATTTTTATTATATCCATATAAGTTTTTATTCTTTAATTTATATTTAAATAAATCCTTGTTTTGTTTGATTATGACTAAAATACTAAAAAAATTCTTGAACTATTTCACTACTTTCAAATAAGTCCTATTTTTTTATTATATCCATATAAGTTTTAATTCTTTAATTTATATTTAAATAAACCCTTATTTCAAACAAATACCTGATTTATATTAAAGGTTTATTTAGGTACAAATTAAAAGATAATGATTTATTTGAATAAAAATTAAAATTTAAATGCTTATTTGAGAGTAAATTAGGCCAAGACTTATTTAGGTAAATAAAAGTATAGTGATTTAATTATCAAAGTGGTAAAGTTTAAGAATTTTTTTATTATTTTAATCTTTGATTATTCAATTATGTAATACTTGATTATAATTACAATTTATTTTTGTAATTTCTAAAAAAAATTAATGATTTTCAATACATCTGAATAAAGATATTATTTTGTATAATAACTTTAAAATTAAAGAGTATTCTTAAAACACAGGAGCAAAATCATCCGTGTATACCCATTACCCAACCTAGCTACCATTTATAGGTGAAAATGCACAAAAGTGACGATCTACCTCAGTTCTTTCGTAAGCCAAACCAGTGTTTTTCTTTCCATGGATAAAGGAACCCCCATCGCTTCCCTGAGCACGAAATCTTCACAGTATCAACATGTGATAGTGTATTTGCATCCTTGTCTGCGTGTCTGGGAAATTTTCTTCTCTTTTTGTTTTGTTTTGTTTTGAATTTGAATTAATTGAGTTAAAATGTATTTTGGTTCCAAATATGTAAGTTTGGTTTAAAATCAATGCTTTGAGTATGAAATGACAGATTGTCTTGCCCAAACATAGAAAAATTCCAAAAGAAACTACTGATTCAGTTAACAATTTTTACTTTCTTGATTGAGTACTGTTCCGAAAATCCCAGGCAATAGAGATTTATATATTTGGTACATCTGAAAATCAGATTTATATTCTGATCATGTAAATATCGTAGATTCCCGCTTGAAAAAGAGATTCCACATAAATTAAATATATATATTTTTGGATAAGCTATTAAATTAAAAGTATTTGGATTCTTCTGTAAGGAAAAATAACATTTTTTATCATCAACCAGGAAACAAAAAAAAATCATTTTGACCCCTCATCTTTATTGGGTCAATTTGACTCTTATTCTTTTGAGTTCCGTTTGGATTGTCAATTGATTTAGAAATAAAAGAATAGGGGCCAAATTGACCCCAAATAAAAAACTAGAGGTCAAAATAATATTTTTCATATATAATTTGAAGACCAAAAACATCATTACGCCAATAGTTAAATAATTTGCAATCTCCATAGCTGGATATGTTCTTATTTCTTCTCTGAGAATACAAACATCGATCGACA